GATCCGCGCCGAGTGCGAAGCCACGTGCATCACGTTTGGCCTTGGCGACAAGATGCTCGCGCAAACATCGACGCTCTCGGGCTGTAGCAAGCGCAAGGTGTGCGTGCTGCTGGCGCTCCTCGGCGATGCCAAGCTCGTGCTTCTGGACGAACCGACATCCGGCATCGACGTCGACTCGCAAAAGCACGTGTGGCCGCGATCCAAGGCGCATTGGCCGGCCGCGCCGTGCTTCTCACAACCCATGCAATGCACGAAGCCCAAGTCCTTAGCCACCGCATCGGTATTATGGCCAACGGCGAGCTCCACTGCGCTGGCACGAGCGGTGCCCTCAAGGACAAGTACGGCGTCAGCTACAAGCTCCACGTTGTCAAGGCGGCACGCGACGCCAGCGACAAGGTTCGTATCGCCTTGGCGTCCGTGCCCGGTGCGAGCGTCCTCCGCGACCACAAGTGTTGGTCTCGACTGCCAACTGCCGCTCGGCACGGAAGCGCTTCAAGCGAGTGGCGTCCTGGAGACGTACGACGTGGCCACGATGACGCTCGAGGACGTCTTTGTCAAGATTGCCTCGGGCGATACGGCGATGGCGCCACTTGGTTAGCTCTCGGACTGCGTATCCGCGCACGCCGACGCCGGCCACCGAGGAAGAGACGACAACAAATGCTCCTTGAGCCCCTGGATGAGAGCGACGGCCCTCGCTAAGCTTGATTCGCCGGCAATTCGGTAGCCAGCGAGCGTTGCTTGAGCTTGGCATAAATCTAAAGAACAATAAATGCTATATCTTCGTTGCAAATTAAAGTTGCACGTCGTTTGATACGTCTTGATCTCTATCTCAATGAACACAAGCCTTGGAGTCAAAGAACGATGGAAGTATGCGCACACTCACAGTACTTTGGCGCTTGCTATTTGCCTACGTTCCCGTTCCGTGCACCAAGCTTTCGAAACAATAGTTTGCGACCAGCAACCCTTGTCCTCCCCAGACTCCATGTGCACGCCCATCAATATCGTCGACTCGCCAACTCCGCAAACCACATCAATGCCCACCAGCGCAAAGGCCATTCGCTACTTCAAGGTCGACTGAGCTACCATGGAAAAAGCGTTGGATCGATCGATCGCTTTTCCCGCTTCACGACACTCTACATGCTCCTCATACTGCATGCATCTCGTCCTCTCGATCCTCCTCAACATGCAGCCTCTCTCGCAAACCAACTCGCTCGTCGTCACCGTGCTCGCGGTGGACCTCGACCAGTTTGCCGCCACAGTCGTCTCGACCAAACTCCGCCTCGTCTGTGGCACCCAGCGCGAGACACTCAAGTCCAAGGACGTTGCGCAATGGGGCGCCGCCGTCGAGTTCCTTCCGCCTGTCGACACCATTGGCGTCAGTGTGCACATCAAAGACGCAGCTGCGTGCGTGTGCAGCGGGTACGACGTCTTTGGCACGACGTCGATCCCGCTTTCGTCGCTCGACAGCGCCACCAATGGTATCGACATACGACGCTATCTCTTGTCGACGTGATGCCTCACACGATCATCTCTCAACGTAGGCGAAGGCTTCTTTCCCTTTGCGCATGGCCACGGCGGCGTGCGCCTTGCATTCGAGTGGAGCGCCGACGTCGCGCGCTGCAGCCGCGTGCATTTGCCGTGGCGGCGCCATGCGCACTGTGCCGACTGCAACGCGCCCGTGTGCAAGCACTGCAGCTTTCCGAGCGGCCGCAGTGGCGTCGCTTGCCGGGCCTGCGTGGCCGCCAAGCGAACGCTCGTGCTCTCGCCCATCATCTCAGACACGACGTCCGAGACCGACTCGGATGACGCCAGCGCACCGGTGTCGCTCCCAAAGCCCGATGATGACGACCATGTCTCGGCCGATGATTTCCAAGTCGTTGGCAAAATGGATGCGGTACGCTGCCATGTGATTGGTCGACGCGCAATATCGGACGCTCTTTGTAGGTGATTGTGGTGCGAAAGACGCATGGGTCGGACGCCGGGACCATGTACGCGCTGCGCCCGACGCTCAAGACGCTAGCGTCGCTGCCAGGCTTGGTCCGTGCCAAGGCCGTCGTCGAGGCCTTTGGCCACCCGAACGTACTCGCGCCACTGTATCTCTTTCAGACCGCGACGACCGCGTACGAGATCACCTCGACGGCAGCGCGACAGCCGCTCTCGACGCTCCTCGGTGGCGTCGACGAGATTGAAGGCGCACAGCTCCTCGCGCGCGTCCTTTCCGGCCTCGCCCATGTCCACGCCCGCGGCTACGTGCACGGCGCCGTCTCGTCGGCCAACGTGCTTCTTGGCCACGATGGCACGGTCGTCCTCGCCGGCTTTGAGCACGTGACGCCCCTCGCCGACGACGGCGCGATCGTCGACTGGCACGCGCTGGGCCTCTTGGTATACGAGCTCTTTGTCGGCGCCGGGCCGCTCACCGAAGACACGTTTCTCACGGACGCAACGTGTCGTCAACATGGCTTGCTCCCAGCCGGTCGCGACCTCTGCCTTGCGTACGTACTCCTCGTCATCGTGATCATCTACGTCGCCTCCAATCGATCTCTGTGTAGCTTGCTCTCGGCGACCGAGAAGAGCTCGGCGATTGACTTTATGGCGAGCGACTTCTTCTTTGGCGTCGATTGGACGAGCCTCGATACGACGCCCGTGCCGCACCCGAGCGACACGCCGCAGCTCGACGACGTCCCAACTGACGCGTTTGACCTGGCGCTGCTTCAAGCCCGCGTCTTTGCCGACGATCCAGACGCGTGGCCGTTGCACATTCCAGAGTACGCCTACGCCCGCGCCACCACGGTCGGCGCCAGCGACTTTGCCGTTCTTGGCCACATGACGACACCGACGCGCGCCCAGGTCCGACTATAATCGTATGTGTCTCTGACGTGAACTCACACATGGGTAGGTGCACGTCGTGCAAAAGACGACGGGCGCCGACGCGGGTGCCTACTACGCTCTGCAGTCCATCGGCAAGGCGACGACGCAACCGCCGGCCGTGGACGTATTGGCGTTGCGCCACGCGACCTTGGTGCCGATACGGTACCG